CTGGGGAGATGAATCCTGCTCCAGGCAACAGAAACCACGTGACTTTCTCTGCACATGAATACCAAGAAGGATGAGCTGCTCCAGAGCCTTTTTCTGTGCAGCTGGGCAGGGACTGTTGCCAGGTCTTGCCTGTGGAGTATGGCCTGTTGCCCAAAACTATCTAAGAGTTTTTAATAGTAATGTTTTCTACAGGACCTCAGTTGTTGAGGATGTTTTTGACCTCCCCTAGACTTCCAGATATATTTTTCCTTGTGGCTGTCCATCTGGATCCCAGAAACCTGCATTGGCTGTTCTGGAATGCATCAAGGACCTGTTTCACAGGTGCCTCCTGTTCCCCAGGATCTCAAAGCCCTGCCTGTCCCCTCTGTCACTCACATTCAGGATGCCTTGGAGCAGCACACTGTCCCGGATCCTCCCGTCATTCCTTGCCTTCACAGCCAGGTTGGAGAACCACACGCACGGGATCCAAAACTTGTTGTGGGGGGAATTCAAGCTCTCAAACTTCTTGTGCTCTTCTGGCGTCATGAGGCCTGGATGGGAAAGAGCAGCTGGGAGAGGGATGGACTTAGAGGGCAGAAGGAATTGATCTGGTCTGGAATGAAAACATCTGAATCTCAGGTGGATGCCTCTGCTCTCCCTAAAAATCTGAGTGACGACTCAGAATTTGGGGAGACATGCAGAAGGACAAGTCTCCTTAAAACATTGAGTCATGGAGGTGGGATAATGGGATTTCACTTTGGATGTCTGCAGCACATCAGATAAGAGCCATCAGGGTGATAAAGCACTGCTGAGGGTGCAGCTGCCTGGTGTCCATAGATACTTGTTGAGAATGGGATAATTTGTGTCCCTGAAGTGCCTTTTCTTTTTAGGAGGCCAACAATATCACATCTCTGTGAATTGCCAAGGGAACCCAGACAATGTGGGCAGACTGGGAACCCTGCTGACCTTGAGGAGCATTTCCCAAGAGGATGCAGTGTGCCCTGCAGTTAAGCTTGGAGACTTGGGGCTTGAATTCCCACCTGCCCTGAGGGATCAGCACCACCCCATTTCCAAAGAAGCTTTCCCAGGGCCCCCTGCCCCTGGAGGAGCAGCAAGGAGCAGTGCTGACCTGCCCTCACGACGTGCTCCATGCTGGGGAAGCGCTTGTAGACAGCGGTGCTGACGGAGCGCAGGATCAGCACGCTGACCAGGTTGCTGTAGCGCATCAGGGTGCGGCGCAGGAGCCTCCCGTACTCGTCCTCCCCATCCACGTTGCAGGACACCAGGTTCATGATCCGGTCTGGCCATGGGATGCTCTCGTACTGGGCCCACCAGCGGGACACCACCAGGGCCACATAGAAACCTAGAGGGGAGCTAAGAGAGTCAGGCATCTGAAAAGAGCTTCTTCCTCCCCACTGTCTGATCTCCTCTTCTGCTCACACAGAAGAGATGGGTGCAGGAATGTCTGGAGGGGAATTCAGTCCTCCATGCTAAAAGGAGGCTGGATTTCATATTTCCCTTCCAACCTAAACTGTTCTGATTCTATGAAGCAACCTTAAAGATTATCTCATTCCAAACCCCTGCTCTGGACAGGGACATCTTCCACTAGACCAAGTTGCTCAGAGCTCCACCCAGTGTGGCCTTGAAAACTTCGAGGGGTGAGGCAGCCACTGATTCCCTGGGCATATCTGGTGCCACTTGGAGCTTGTCCTCCTGTGCTGGGGGACACTCACAGATATGGGGCACTCCTCCCACTTGAGGAGTTTTGCAAAGGCAGAGGGAGGGACCTGCTCTGCCAGCAGAGCTCTGCCAACCCAAGGAGAAGAAATGCTGTCCCATTCCCCTCCCTGCTGGATTCCAGACAGTTCCTTACCCAGCACGAAGGACACGGGGATTAGCTCGGCGTAGCTGTTGCAGTACAGCGCCAGCTTCTCGAACATCAGCCTTTGGCTCTCGCTCAGGATCAGCCTAAAAGGGACAAACAGAAGCAGTTCTCCCTCTCCTTCCTTCCCTCCCCTTCCCTCCTGTGGACAGAGTCTGGTAAGTGCCTGCCCATCAGGATCCCTGTCCCATTCCTGTGTTTATCCCATGTCCTGCCCCAGGCCAGGCTGTGGGTGTGAAGTTGCTCACCTGTAGACAAGGCTGATGGTGAAGTAGAGCGAGATGAAGATCAGGAACTCAGAGTAGAGCAGTTTGTAGATGCTGCCCTTCCATTGGAGCAGGAGCTGGGAGAAGGTGCCCAGGCGGGCATCAGCCACACGGTTGGTGTAGGTCACTGTCATCACAGCTCCTGTGGAGGCACACGACAAGCTGGGCTTGGAGCTTGAGCAGGAGGAGACACAGGGACATCCCATGTGTCCCACCAAGCAAGATGGAAAGGAAGGAGAAAACAGAATGAGCTGAGATCAAAAGCTGGGTAAGATGTAGGCAGCAGCACAGAAAGCCAGGAGGAAATTGACAGGAGGCAATTCATTTGATGAGTTTCCCATCTTTTCTCTGTCCTTGAGCTGGTTATAGTGACCAAGGATGTATTTTCTGGTGGATCCCTTTGTTTTTAGTGTTTGATTTTTGTCAGCATTCAAATGGGGCTGGTTGACTGAAGAGGACAAAGCCCATGTGCCACCCCCTTCCACAAAACACTTGTGGTAAGATTAATCTCCGGGTCACAAACTGCGAAGTTTATGCTTAGCCCAGTAATTTTCTAAATATAGTTTTTGTTTCAAATATGTTTCTGTAAACCTACTTGCTGGGAAACATCTTCCTGAAATACTGCTGGGAAAAAAAAAAACCAACCCAAAGGAAAAACCCCAGAAAAAATTTATTGGGACCGATCCAGATGAAGGCATCCTAGCAAGGAGAGCTATCTGTACTCTGCTGGTCCTAGTCATGTAGGCAGGGCAGCCTTCCCTGTTGGAGATCTGTGGGATGGAGTTCAGCCAGGCTCATAGGGCCCAAATTCCAGCAGCTCCACCTCCCCTCTCCTTCAACCATATGTTGCATAATAAATCACAGTGGCTGAAAAATAGGCATTCAGGCTCCTGAAGTGCTCCCTAGACATGCAGCATCCCCATTCCACTTCTAGTGTAACTTCCATAAATAATTCTTTATAATCAAGTGATAGTCAGGCTCATAGTTGCATAAACCTGAATTTATTTTAAAAACACCCCAACAAACAACAAGACACCAGTGTTATCCATGCCAGGCAGATTAGTGAATGATTTCTTGCGTTAGAAATAATTATCCAGTGTGAACTATTGGTATTTCTGAATCCTAACGTGTCACCAGGCATTGCTATTTAACAGAGGTAATAATGTTAATCATTATGGGGCCTTGGGCTCTTCCCTGAATGATGGGGATGAAGAAGCACTTCAAGGGACAGGTCACACCCTGAAGCAGCTGCAGGCAGGTAAGTTTGGGCCCACATTCCTCATTTGTTTCTCATTTAAGCATCCCAGTGAAAGATTTACATTTAGGTGGGGACAACTCAGGTCCCAGTGAGCTGCTGCTGTGAAGAAAACCATCAAAGTCTAGATTTTTGGCTATTTCAACCAAGCAGCATCTTTGTTCTGGGTTTGGCTTTTTGGTGCTGCTCCTCCTTTGGGTGTCCCTGTCAAAACTTAGGTCCCTGAGTCCCCTCTTAAGGGTGATATAGAGGAGCAGAGCTGTCCCTGTCCCCTGCTGCTCAAATGCCCCTTTCAGTAAATCCTCATGTCCATTCCATATGGATTTCTGGGTACAGGACTTGGAAGAGTAGGCTTTAACTGCCCCAGAAGTTGAACCCACAGGCTGCCCAGAAGAGAAAAGCATCCCCAAAACCCCCTACGTTTTTGGGGCCCCTTACACAAAGCTGCATCTTTTCTCTGGGCTTTAGGGCTCGAAAGCACTCAGGGAGATTCTTTGTTGCGTAATTCAAATTCAGATTCCCTTTTTTACCAAAGAAGGAAAACTCCAGCTCTTGGCCGTGTAACTAATGGATGTTGCCCACCTCTACTCTGTTCTGCTCCTGTGTGGTTTATGGGGCTTTTCCCAGTGCTTTTCCCTCCAGCCCTGAACGGGTAAGGCACCTCCCTGCCCACCTGCCAGCCTGTGCTGGGCTGCCCTGAGATGTCCCTGGGCAGCTGGCACGTTCCATTAGTGGCTGAGGTCCATGCTGGGAGGTGGCTCACTGGCACACCGGAGTCAGGATGGGCTGGAAGAGCCCACCCAGGGAGCTGCTGCCTGCCACTGCCTGTATCCCCTGCTTATCCCTCTGGACTAACCAACACACCTGGAAGTCGACTGACCTGGAATTCAATTGTGGGAGCAAGCAAGATTCTGGGACATCAGGTGCATCACCCACCACAAACAGATCCTAGCAGGTATCGCAAAGACGGACAACGAGCAGACAGAGCAGAGGGATGGAGCCAGAGGAGGTCACGGACAGGCAGGAAGATGGATCTCTGCAGGAAAGAGTGATCCTCCTGCTGCTGTTAGGATACTCACAGTCATGGGCTCCTGAGCCGTGCTGGAGGCTGGGGAGGTTTGGTCCTGCATGTGTCCCCGCTGGGTCCTTTGTGGCCTGGGCCACTGCCCGCATCCTCGTGCCCCCTTGGCTCATAGGGGGATTGGAGCTGCCCCACACGGTGTGCTAAGGAGCCTGAGACCCACTTGGGAGCTGCAGCCGGTCACTTGATGCCGTAATCCCTCCTCATTACAAAAGAGACTCTGTTGTCTTTTGCCCTGTTCCCTCCTAATCTTCTGAGTAAGCCCTGCGTGTTTATAGAGGCGGCCGGAGGAGGGGGAGGCAGGGCTGGCTGCTCTGCTGCTGCTAACTCCTGGCACAGCCATGGTGGCTGCCAGAAGAGAGGCATTTTTCCTCTAATTCTTTCCTGTTTGGTCCCTCTCTCCATGTCACAATCTTACAGGAACCCCAGGAGATTATGCAGGGCTGGAATTTTCCACCAAGGCTGTAAAGCATGGTGACTTGGGGGCTGCCCTCTCTTGCCTAGGTCAGTGAAACACCTGGTCCATGCTCTGCCTGGCTCTCACAGGATGTTTCCCCATCATCCCTCACTGTCCCTGGATGAGTTTGCCACCTCTTCTGGCTGTGGTTTGGATGCTGGGGATTTCCACTCTGCTACTGGTTCTCTGAGACTTCCCATGTGTTTGCTTACTTTTGCTCTTGCTTTTCCAGCAGTGCTCGAGAGCTGTCACTGTGCTTCCTTGCATGACATCCTGGGAAACATTGGTCCTTGCCTTGCCCTCAAACTTCCACCAAGCCAGGGAACTCCTCCTCTCTGTCTTCCCAGGGTTCTTAGTCCCTTTTCTGCTCCTTCCCAGTTGTGACTGTCCTTCCCTTCTACCACCTCCTCAATGCTTCTGCTCAGGTCATAAGGACATTCCCCTTCCATGAGGGTCTGAATCAAAATCTTTTAATGAACTGGTCTTCCATTGTTTAGGCAGCTGTGAGACACTGAAGAGGGAACACAGCTCTGATCCTTGCAGGTAAGAGCAGCTGGAGACCCAGGCTCCTGTAATAACCAACTTTCTCCTGTGCTTTGACACTTATTTAACAGCACTAGTTGTGATCAGTTTGTCCCAGCTGTAGTTTTCTCCTTCCTGTGATTGATCCTTGACAAGGGGAGTGGGTTGTTTCACTGCTCCTCTGGAGCAGGTGCTGCCTGGCATCTGCCTGATGTGGGATTTCTGGTGCAGTCTGGGAATTGCTGCCAGTGGCAGGGAGAGCATAGTTTAAAACGTGGGATTAGTGCTCTGTGAAGGGACATGAGAGCCGGAGGACCCTCTCTGAAGGGATTGTGGTCCATCCACTTCCAGGGCTGGAATTGCTGAACAGGCAGGCTGAGATAGATCTTGAGGGTCGTAGTGCCTAAACCCTCATCCCCACACACAGCAGGGAGACCAAAATGCTTCAGGTGAGACATTTGCTGCAGCTGTTGGGAGCAGTTTGGCTGCTCCTGGGGATGTGGAACAATAACCCCCTGAGTGTCCTGCTGCTTGTGGAGGGATGTGCTGGCATCTGGGGGCCTCTGCTGCCCTCCTCTGAGAACAGCTCTGCTAGCAGCTCGTGTGCTCCACAGCTGCCCTTGGGACAGTAGGAAATATGTGTGGAATTTAATATTAATGTAAATAACTGAGGGGCTACCAGCGTGGCAGAGCTGCTTGGATCTCTTTCCACATCTCCTGTGGCCTCAGACCCTCAGGAGGAGAATGGTCTGAAAGCCTGCCTTGCTCAGCAGAGCAGGAAGCAAAGAGGTGCTGACATCCATCCTTAGCCTCAGGGCCCTGGAATCATCCTCATTTTCTCCTTGCTAAAGATGTAGAGATTGAATTGCTGCTTTGGGAATGTTAAAGGGCCACTCTCAATGCTGAGTTAGCAGCAGCTGGCTGGGAAAGGCACAGTGCCCTCCTTGCTCTCTCCCAGAGAACAGTAAGTGCTTTTAGGGACAATGGGTCCCAAAGCTTGGTGAAATCCCTTTCCCTTCTCCAGTTGCAGGGCTGGGATAGACACAGAGGCAGCTGGCATCAGAGGTATCTCTGCAAACTACATTCTTCCTTGAAATCTGATGTAACTTGAAAAAAAATCCAACTGGGAAATGTCTGGGGAGTTGCTGTTTTTCATGGACAGGATTTACTCAGAGGTTTGAGCTGGCCAGAAATGTTTGAGGAGGATGCAGTTACCCTGCAGTGCTTTTGTGAGGACCCCCAGGCTTGTTCCCCTCATGCTGCAGAATTCCTCACTAATTCTTGCTCCCCTAGGAGCTGGGGGTGCCTGTCCCTGTGCCAAGCTCCATCTGACCCTTTGCATTTTGCTTTTAGGGGCTTGGATGGTGACAAATCTCTCACTTTGCCTCTGATGTTGCACAGTTCAGTGCATACAGCATGAAAATGAGGGAAGGGTCCTTAGTGAGGTCCCTCTTCTCTTGCCTTAGGAATTGTGGTGGGGATTAGGTGCCAAAGGGAGGATCAAACATGCTGGTGCTGGAAATCAGAGACCCCAGAGGAGCCTTGCTGCAGCCCTTGCAGCCAGCTGAGCAAACATGTGGCACAGCCAAGGAGCCAGCCAGGAGGGGCTGGATGGAGCCTGGAGTTTCAGGCCATTTGTTCTCCTTTCCATGGCAATACCATCTGGTTTGAGTTTGCTGGATAAGGGGTGTCAGCAAAGTCAGATTCTGCTTTCCAAACTCAAAGATAATGCCTGTTCTTCCTTCCCTTCCCAGCCTCTGTCTGGCTTTCTTCTTCTTCTCCCCTTTCCTTCCCCGTCATTTCCCTTCCTTTTATTTCCACTTTCTGCTTTTTGCTTTCCTGCTTCTCTTCTGGGTAGAAGGGAGCACATGCTACTCTCCCCCTTATGACAAGTTACTTTTTCAAGTGGCTGGGATTCAGCACATCCCTCTCAAAGCTTCCTGTCAGCACTATCAGTTCTCATCCTTCCTGCCTTTGTTGGCTCCTGGAAGCACTTCTACCTTTCTAATCTGAGGACCCTCTGTTGCTGCTGGCCAAGCCTTGGGAGTTAATAATTACAAAGACTAATTACATCTGGTGTGCTTTGCAGAGCTGAAGATCTTTCCCCTCCTCCCAAAAGTTCTCTGAAGATAGCAAAGGTTGCAGCCAGAGACACAAACATCCCGGACACTCCGTTCCCAGACTTCAGAGCGTGGGCTTGGCCTGTGCTGTCCCCATGGATCCTGGACATGAGGCAGGGCAGGGCTGGAGATGACACAGACACCCAAGAGATGCTGGGACAGAGAATTGCTCCATGTGTAGTATCCACAGCAAAATCCTGCAGTGGACACCAGGATCACCATGTCTGACTCTCCTGCCTCCGGCGTTGGGTCTGTCCCAGAGGCAGAGGATGGACAAGCTGAGAGCAGGGAGGGAGCTGTTGCTGTGTGTGAAGGCTCCAAAGGAGTATGGCTGCCTGGAGGGAAACCCAGGGCAATGGCAAGGTAGGATGTGATGGGAAATGCCCTCTGAGGGCAGCAGCAGTTTTTGGTTCAGAATTCCAGTGCTGTCAATCCACAGGTGGAAATGGGATCTGCTGTGGGACAGGGGTGACAGCAGAAGTGGTTTGCCTGTTGGGTTCCGTGCTCAGTGCTCCCCTTGAAGTATAAAAACCCTGGACAACCAGCAGCCGGTTTTCCCCCAGCCAGATTTCCCCCATCCTTCCACCTTCCTGCGTTTACATCCCAGGTTTCCCCTCTGTATTGGCTTTGTGTGGCACCGTTTTGGTAGCGGGGGGCTACAGGGAGGCAGAGATCGATCCACCTGCAGCCCATGGAGGAGCCCACCCTGGAGCAGAGGCATGCCCGAAGGAGGCTGCGGCCCCTCAGGGAGCCTGTGCTGGAGCAGGGTCCTGGCAGGACATGTGGGGAGAGAGGAGCCCGCGCTGGAGCTGCCTATTCCTGACCCTGTGGAGGGGACCCAGGCTGGGGCAGTGCATGAAGAGTTCCTTACAGAAGGAGGACTTGTCCCGTGGGAGGAACCCCACGCTGGATCAGGGGCGGAGTGTGAGGCATCCTCCTCTTGAGGAAGAAGGAGCAGCACAGACAGCAGCCCCCATTCCCCATCCCGCCGTCGGGAAGGAGGCGGAGGAAGCCAGCAGCGATTCCGAGCCGGGCATGAAGAGCGGAGCGGAGGGACGGTTGTCGGACATTTCCTTGCACCTCCGCCCTGCCCCGCGGTGAGTCCATGGGTGACAAACGCCGCCGGCTGCCAGCTCGGCCCGTCCCGCCCGTGCCCGCAGGGACCCCCCGGGCCGGCGGCGCTCAGGGCGCAGCCGCGCCGGCATCACGTGGGCGGCGGGGCCGCGGCTGCTCGGGATCGGCTCCGGAGCCTCCGGGAACCGGTCCCGTTCCGGCTCCTCCGGGCACGGATCCGCCGGAGCCTCCGGTTCTGATCCCTCCTGGCTCGGCTCCTCCGGGCACGGATCCGGCGGCAGCTCCGGTTCGGGTGCCTTCGGGCACGACTCCTGCTCCGGCTCCTCCGGGCACGGCTCCCGCTCCGGCTGCGGCTTCTCCGGGCGCGTCTCCGCTTCTCGCTCCGGCTTCTCCCCCGGGCTCCCGGTGCGGCTGCCCCGGCCATGGGGGCTCTGGCGGGGGCGCCTCCGCCTTGAGCAGCATCGGCAGCAGCGGGACCCAGCGATGTTGCGGGGGTAGGTGCGGGTCTGCACGGGGAAGGAGTGGCGTCCGTGTGCCGGGGCTCTGTCTCCGTAGAGTCCTGGAATGGTTTGTGTTGAAGGGGGTCTTGAGGTTCATCTTCTCCTGCCACGGGCAGGGACGCCTTCCGCTAGACCGGATTGCCCCAAGCCTTGTCCAACCTGGCGTGGACACTTCCCGGGATGGGGCAGCCACGGCTTCTCTGGGAAATCCATTCCATCACCCTCATAGGGAAGAAGTTGTGTGGAAGCCAAGTAAGGAGATGGAATACGGAGGCAGCAGCATCCCCAGATACAGGACTTGACGTTTCATTGCTGAGGCAAAGACAAGAAACACCAATGTGTGTTCTGCTATAATATAATACCATAAAAATAGAATCAGCCACTGCCAGATGCTCTGCCAAACATTTGAGGGATGATGCTGAGCCCACATGGGATGATGAGCCACTCTGGACTGATGCTGGTCCATGGTGGTGCAGGTCAGGCGTCCATCCCGGTGGGGATGGAAAAGTCAGGCCTTGCTCCCAAACCTGGGGTGAGAGTTTAACCTGGAGAGAGCTGGAGGCTGCTTGCACAGGAAACAACCCCGTCGGATCAGCGCTGCAGGAAACATGTGGGGCCCGCTGGAAAAAGTGCAGATCCTGCACATTTTTTTGCTTTTTCTACAGAAACCAACTTTAGAAGGCTATGGGATGTTGGGGATTTTTTTTTTTTTTGTGTAGGTTTGCATTTCTTGTGTCAGTGCATGACTCTTAGGATATGATCCATTTTTCCTGGAAAGGCAGCTACCAGTCAGCAAGAGAGGGAGTGTTTCTGGTGGTCCTTTGGTCTCTGGGATAGGATTTTAGAGCCCCACCTGGACACTGAGCAGAATCCAGCATAGCCAAGGCTTCCATAGGGATTCTGTTTGCATGGTGTGGAGAAAAAATGAGCTATTCCGTCATAGATGATTTTCCAGGATATGTTTTTGGCATTAGAGTGTGGGTGGGACTGTTTAATTCCTTCATATCCTCCAGTTTTCTTCCATAGCGTGTGGAAATACGCTGAAATATCTGTCTCCTGAGGCAACTTTCAGCTGAGAATTAGAGAGTCATAAAGGAACAACATTATTTTTCCTTCCTGTGGGTTAGATTAAGTGTGTTTGTATCAGTAGACTGGTGAAATGTCCATTTTCCTTACTGCTTCTTTTTTTTATTATTTTTATTCTCCATGCTCTGGTTTCCTTGCTCCTTTCTGGTATGAATTCTTCCCAGTGTTCAGGGAGTTCTCCATGTGTGCTTTTCCACATGCTTTCCTATGATACCTGAGCTGATTTAGCTGGGAGCTGCAGCTTTGTTCCCTCTTTGGAAGGTGGCTGTGGACAGCTGTTGGTCTTGGACAGCTTGGGGGGCACAGAAAGGGAGAAATTAGAGTGGAAAAGGTGATAGAACACTCTGGGACTGAGGAGATAAACCCAGCCTGTATGGAGTCAGAGCAAGGGGAAAGAGCATGGCCTGGCAGGAATGCAGGAGAGGAACACAGAGATGGGGCAAAGAGAAGAGGAAAAAGTGAGCCTGAGCAAAAAGAGGTGATGGCTGCTCTACAGGAGGAGGTGGTGGGTGAGGAGCAGTGTCCAGGAGTGTGGGAGGAGGTGCACGAAGAGAAGGGCACCAGAGCTTAGCCAGGGCTTGTGAGCCCGAGATAAGCAGCAGCAGGTTAATCTGCAGGGCAGTGTCTGTGTCTGGGCAGGGCAGAAAACTTCCATGTGGGGAGGGCTTGGACACACTGCCCCTGCCTTCAAATGGAGGGAGATTCCATGGGGAGAGTTCAGTGAGTAAGAGGAGAAATACAAACACTACAGTGACAGCAGTGCCCTGCATGCAGGCACTCAAATGATGTTTTCCATTCCTAAAACTTCTCCAGCCTCTGTGTTAATTTGGGAGTTGACAGAGCCCTGCTGAGCACTGAGGTGCAGTGTCCTGGGTCACTCTTCTGCTTTCTTCTTTCTAGGATGTCTCTGCTTGCTGGCCACTGAAACTAAAAAATAGGGCTTTCACTCAGCTTGGGGAAAATACACTGGTGCAGACAGCTCTGTGGGGGATTTTGGTGGGAAATAGGTGGGAAAATAGGTTAAAAATTTGTTCAAAATAGATCTTTTCCTTCTGAAGCAGATGTGGGGGGTAGAGGAAGGCTGGGTTGGCAGCAGAGGGGATTTGGGTCCTTATATTAAGAATGGGAAAGCTGTATTGCCTTTTTTTTTTTTTTTTTTTTTTGCTTCCCTACATCAGTAGGGAAGTCTGACCTTAGGTCTGCTGGGTGTATCCTGGAATCCTAAAAATCTATCTGCAGGGTGTTTCTCTTGGACAGCAGGTGAGAATGGGATCTCTGGAGCAGCTGTCCTTAGTTCTCCTGGTTATTATCCTGAGTTAATAAGGACACCCTGCCAGAAGGGTAAAGCACTTCCATAGGGTTGCAGGGCAGAGGAACAGGTGCAGCTGTTGCTGCCCAAATTCTTCCCCATCACCTTCCCTGCCTCATTTCCCACTGCCTATTTCTGGGGCTGGATGTGTTGTGAGTGTTGGAGGAAGGCTCTGAATCCCCCCCACGCTCATTTTCCCTGTGCTTTTACCCCCAGCCAGGTCAGTTTGGAGGAAGAGAGCCAGAATCCACCTGCTGTGGGACACTGGAAGCCCCTGATGCCATCCAAAGGGGACAAGGAGGAGCCAGAGGGTGGATGCCAGGATGCTGGAGGTGTGCATGAAGGCCAGTCCACGGAGCAGCTCAATGTGTCCCGGCTGCGCAGCTCCTCGGTGGAGATCCGGGAAAAGGGCTCGGAGTTCCTGAGGGATGAGCTGCACAAAGCACAGAAGGTGACCTCCAGGGTTTTGGGGAACTCCTGGGGAGGGGGGCACAGGTTGGAGCCGAGGGGACTTTCCTGGAGGTGGTGACAGGAATCTTGGGTCATGGATCAGGTGCTGGGGTGGGGAGGAAGGGCTGTGATTGACAGGCTGGGGCAGGGCATCAGCATTCCTGTCCCTATCCATTTCCTCAACAGGAGCTGAAGCTCAAGGACAAAGAATGTGAGAGATTGTCAAAAGTCAGGGAACAGCTGGAGCAGGAACTGGAGGAGTTAACAGCCAGCCTGTTTGAGGTACCACCCTCTTCCTTTCCCATCATTTCTTAAGCTAAGCTTACATCCAGCTCCTTTAAGACAGGCTTTCCCTGGACTTCCAGCTCTCCTCTCTCAATTTCCTCCTCTCCCTTGTTGTTCTTTCCTACTTGGAGAAGCAGAGCTGGCCAGAGCTGCAGATGGAGCTTTTACCTGGATTTCCTCCCCCTTCTAGGAGCTGTGGGGGTGGCATAAAGAGCACAGTAGTTATGGTTCCAAAATGTGGAAATACCTGGAGCTGGAGCCAAGCACAGCTCCCTGTCCCTCTCCATGCCTGCTCTGCAGTCTGGGCAGCTGCTGTGTAATAGAGATGATTCCCTGGCTCATGCCAGCCCTTGCTGGGGGTGGAAACATGCTGGATGTCCTCATCCACTCTGCTCCAGTGAGTGTCCAGAAGGCTTGTTGGTTTTGTTTTGGTGGTTTTTTGTTGTAATGTGGTTCTTACCAGGCTGTATCCCGGCAAAATCCTATTCACCAGCAGCTCTAATGTCTGGATCTGTCTGGATAATGAGGAAAACCAGAGCCCATCAGTACCCTTGAAATGCAGGGCTGTGAGAGCCAAGTAAGCACTCCCTCCCAAAATTTTGGCTGCCTGAGCACAGGATGATCTTGGAGATCATGTAGCAAGGGCTGTCCCCTTCCTTTGGTGGCTTTGGCCAGATGCTGTTTCCAGACTGCAGGGAGGCCCCAGCAGGGCTGCATCCTGCTCCCCTCTTCCTGTGGGAGAGGCTTCTAAGCCAGTTTCCACCATTTGGCCCCCACAGCTCCTGCTGTGTCACAGCCGTGCCTGGGGCAGTGGGACCAGCTGCTCTGAAAGGGGAGCAGGAGCAAAGTGCAATAACAAGGCAGGCAGGAGCAGTGCCCTCACCATGACTGAGCAATGAGTGCGGATCAGGATCAGAGCCACAGGCAGCAGTCTGGGTCAGGAGCCAGTGCAGGGATCACCCAACAAGGCTGCAGTGACTGCAGGAACCAGGCTGAGGAGAGGCTGGAGTCACAGCTGTTGGAATAGGGGCAGGCACAGCTGTGGTGGAAAACAGGTGAGTTCTAATGTCAAAGCAATTCTCAAGGGCAAGGAAAGGCAGGTCCTTGTTTCTGGCATTCTTCTCAGCAGCCCCTATCAGTGAGAGATGACCTTGGCCAGCTAAACTCCTTAACTTAGTCAGCTACACTCCTGGAAAGGGGATGCACTCCAGGCTCTGGCACTGGGAGCCTTCTCTGGGAAATTCTGAGGGAAGGCTCTGCACAGCTGAAGGAACAAACCCCCTGGATGTGGCAGGGATGTCTGTCCCCTTGCCTGGAGCATGTAATGTGGCAGACCTGGGACCTGCCTTGTTGGCTGTGTGAGTTGGGGTGCAGCAAGTGGATTAAAACTCTCTCTGGTGCAGGAAGCCCACAAGATGGTGAGAGAAGCCAACACCAAACAGGCTGCAGCAGAGAAACAGCTCAGGGAAGCCCGAGGCAAGGTGAGTGACTCTCTGTGACTTCATTTTTGGGGTTGGTGTGGTGGCATCTCTGCCCAACCTCGCCACAGGGCTGTTTGTTGGCTGAGCAGAGTGAAGTGCAGCTTCATCTCTGAGATGCTGTGGTCCTTTTCTGGCAGACACTTGAGTGAGAGGGAAAAGGCCTCACAGACATCCTTGCATTGCAGTCTCCTGCTGATTGCTGATCCAGCTCTCTCTAGGGAAATGGATCCACAGAGAAATAATGAGTTCAGTTGTTACAGCTCTGATATGGAAGGATAGAGCAGGAGCCTGGGGAGTTGGAATTTCCTGACATGGCAGCACCACAGGGCTGCTCAAATGGCTCCATCTTCAGGAGAGAGAAATTTCTTTGGAGTGATTAGTTCTGAAAAGAGCCTTGGACAGAAGGGGTAGATTCCCAAACAGCTGCTGTTTAAAATTCTGGATGATGGTGGCACTGGGAGGACGGGGAGAGGCTTTGTGGCTGGGCTTTTAGCTGCTTCCCTGTGGTTTCAGTGTTTGATGGGATGCAGCAAACTGGAGCCCAGCAGGTGCCGAAGGTGACTCTTGCTTGTGTCCCCAGATTGACATGCTGCAGGCAGAGGTGACAGCCCTGAAGACGCTGGTGATCACATCCACGCCGTCCTCCCCGAACCGGGAGCTGCACCCTCAGCTGCAGAGCCCTTCCAAAGGTGGCTTCAGGAAGGGCCACGGGCGGAACAAGAGCACCAGCAGTGCCATGGTGTCAGCTGCCAGCCAGAATGTGGCTCCAGAGCCCGTCAGCCGGGAGTGCAGAGAGGTGGGTGGGGCACATCCATTGGGGAGTGCAGAGAGGTGGGTGGGGGACATCCATTGGGGAGTGCAGAGAGGTGGGTGGGGGACATCCATTGGGGAGTGCAGAGAGGTGGGTGTGGGACATCCATTGGGGAGTGCAGAGAGGTGGGTCAGGGACATCCATTGGGGAGTGCAGAGAGGTGGGTCAGGGACATCCATTGGGGAGTGCAGAGAGGTGGGTGGGGGACATCCATTGGGGAGTGCAGAGAGGTGGGTGTGGGACATCCATTGGAGAGTGCAGAGAGGTGGGTCAGGGACATCCATTGGGGAGTGCAGAGAGGTGGGTCAGGGACATCCATTGGGGAGTGCAGAGAGGTGGGTGGGGGACATCCATTGGGGAGTGCAGAGAGGTGGGTGGGGCACATCCATTGGGGAGTGCAGAGAGGTGGGTGGGGCACATCCAGCTGGGAGTGCAGAGAGGTGGGTCAGGGACATCCTGAGCATCCAAAGCTGGCTTCAGGAAGGGCCACAGGTAGAACAAGAGCACCAGCAGTGCCATGGTGACATCTGCCAGCCAGAATGTAGCTCCAGAGCCTGTCAGCTGGGAATGCAGAAAGGTGGATCAGGGACATTGCCTGCGTTGGCCAGGGAGCTGCTGCTCTGAGAACTTTGGGCTTCCCACAGAGCTGTGTGGTCTCACTGAGCAGCTGTTTGTGCCCTGTTCCCTAAATTTGTGCTGAGGCAGGCACTGGAGGGCTTCCTTTTGTGGGGGTTTCCTCTTTGTCGGGACAGGAAGCAGTCGAGGGATCACTGAGGGGCAGATCCAGGGGGTGCCAGTGCTGTGAGTGGATGCAGAGAGCTGCTGAGCAGAAGCCAGTTCTGCTAGCCAGATGTGGATACAGCTGTCCTGGGAAGCAAATAGGAGGCACTTGGTCAGGAAAAATGAAACTGAAAAAAAATATGCTGCAGAAATATCTCACTGGTGATTTTTTGGGAACTGCAGCCTGTGTCGTGATTTTTTGGGAACTGCAGCCTGTGTCGTGAAGAATTGTTGCGGGAACATAAAGGCTTGGTAAAGATTTGGATCTGTCATTTCTTCATGGAAGCCACTTCCACAGGGTGCAGATCTCCTGTGGTTTCAAATCTTAGGGCTCAGCCTCCAGAGTGCCCAGTGTTATATATCAAGGATGGGATGGTTTTTTGTCCCTCGGAATTCTTGTGTGAGAGGTGATAAAAGGGAACCTGGCATTCAGAGAGTTGGTGCTCTATGGGAAAGATCTTAAATTGGGTCTAAAAATGGTAATTTCTGTTCCCTTTCTGCACCTCAAGCTGAAGTCTAAATATGTGGCTTGTAGCCCTGTGTTGCCTTGAGGACCATGCTCAGTTCCTGCAGGGGAGGACTTGAGCCTTTCTCTGTATCTCATGTTTTTTACCTCCCTCTTTGCCTGTCTCTCTAAACCTCTTCCTTCACTATCTGTCTCTCCCTCTGCCCTCCAAGTCTGGTTTCCCTGCTCTCCTCTCCCTGCTCCTTTGCATCCTCCCTGGGAAGGCTATCCACATCACCTATGAGCCAGGCTGGCAGGCCTTGGGAGCAGATGCTTCCTCCTTCTCCTCTTCCTCACGGCAGGTAACCAGCCTTTGGGAATGGGTGGGACCCACCTGCCTCTCATGCTTCCAGCCTTTCAGTTCCAGCTTCCTTTTATGCTAATCTCCATTTTTTTTTCCCCTTTCATTTTGTTTTCCTCCGTTTTTTTTCCATCTTGTGGCTCTGAAGCTGTTGCTGGTCCCAGGTGAGCAGTCTCCATGGCACAAGAGGGGATGTACTGGAATCTGGACTTTTCCAGCTGCGTTCACTCATGTTCTTTGTGTTGCTCAGCTTCGTTTTATTTTTTCCTTTCAGAAGCTTTTGTTGGGCTTGTAGGAGCTGCTCTGTCAGTCAGGTTGGTGTTTTGCCCAGTGATCCATCTGGGATTTAAATGCCAGATCCCACAGAGTCTCCTCTTGCCCCTCATCATTCCTGCCACGGGTTGAGTGTGCACTTTGTCTGTTTGGTGGTTGTGTGGTGGCTTTCCTGCAGCCACAGGAAGGAGGAAAAGCCACCTGGAGGAAAATGGGATAGAGAGGTGCCTGCAGGCTTCTGGCACACACAGCCCAGGGTGGCTGTGTCACTCTGGCACAGAACTGCTGCTGGGTGGGACAGAAGGGATCCTTGGAGCCAGGCAGCTTCCCTCAGACACTTCTGTGATGTCTGAGCCTCTCCAGCTGCAGAGCAGATGTTTCATGGGTTTCCTGCATAGTATCAGGTACTTTCTGACAAGGTATTCCTCCCTCTTCCTGCTCCTCTTGGACACTCACTGCAGGTCGACTCCATCTTATTTGCCGAGTTCCAGGCCTGGAAGGAATCTCCAACTTTGGACAAATCCTGCTCCTTCCTGGACAGAATTTACCGAGAAGATGTAGGACCTTGTCTGGACTTCACCAAGCGGGAGGTGAGTGCTGGAGAAGCAGGAATAGCTGGCAGCTCTGCAGTGTTACCTTCCTGGAATTCATTTTTGCTCTCCCTTGTTGTGCTGCAGCTGTCGGAGCTGGTGCGAGTGGCAGTGGAGCAGAACACCCTCACCATCGAGCCAGTGGCTTTCCAGACTGTCCCTGTGGGGAAGGTGGCAGCAGAAGAGTGTGGTGGCCCCAAGTAAGGACCGTGTCTCCCTGCTTTGTCCCCTCCTTGCTGCTGGTTTGTCCCCTGTCATGGAGTGGCGTCACAGGCAGCTTGGGGCCACTTCCCACTAGCAGGAGTGATGTGACATTCCAAACAAAGAGGAGGGATTTTATTCAGATATTAAATTGAAGTCCTTTCTTACCTTCTGAGGTGCCCCTGTGACAGAAGGGATGTGCAGGTTTCCTACCACTTTACTGCAAATTATTCCCCAAACAACCCATCCTGTGTTTATCAGTTTCCTTTTGATTTTTTAAATTTATTTTTTGTCTTCACAGTGGCTTCCGGTCACAAATTGTAACGTAAGTGAAATATTTATTGTTCAGCCAGTGATCAAAGGTCTCTGGAGCATTAACAAGTCACTAACTCAGCACCATGTGGCAGCTTGGAGGTTTTTGCTGAGCTCACCTAACTCTTTAACTCTGTCTAAATTCCACCCAGGCAGGAAGGGAAGGAGCCCATTGGCAATAAAAGACCCAAAAGGAATTTGTTCCCTTTTTCCCCAGATGCAAACCACTGACTTTTATGGCTATTTTGGCTTGTTTGATTGTGATAGCTGTGGTTTTACACTAAGTAGTACCAATCAAGCAAGAGTCATTTTTTTCCAGAATGTTGCAATGCTCAAATATGTGGCTCCTTACAGGTATCTTGTTTACAAAGCTTCTGGTCATCCTGCACCTCTTGGGAATTCAGTCTCCTTAGGTTGTGTTAATATTTGGTAAATGATTACTTCTCCTTGGATCTGAACACTTGGAACCTGTGCTTCCACTCTTGGCTAATGTTTGCCTTGAGAGCAGTGGAAAACAAGCCCAGGGACGAGCTCAGGAGCTCTCTGAAACATCTGCTCCCCTCTGCTGTCACCTCCTGTGGCTCCCCCAGAGAAGATTTTTTGCAGTTTTGGAGTGATGTTCCTCTTCCTACTGAGTCCCTGAGGAACATGGTGATAACTGTGCACTAGTAAATTCTGCCTTATTGCTTTAAGTGGTGATGGGAATCATCTGCCTTGCAAATATCAGGAGAAAAGGGAAGAAAATAAAGGACTGCTGTACCCCTTGCTGGTGATTGTATGGAAAAGGCTCTTTTCACCATCTGAAATCTCAAAATTGGGAAGCCAAGCTCCTTTCCTGTCTGCCCAAGGAGGGGTTGGCTTGTTTTGAGTTCTTGGTATGTGCAAATCCTGCTCAAATGCTGGATTTACCTGTTTTGAGGCCAGCTTTGGTGCCCAGCCAGTGTGTTTACATCTCACCAGGAAAGCTGATACACCTGAGCCTGCCCTGGAATGTGGGGGACATGTGCAGAGACCAGGGGACATTGAGGCTCTGCTCCAGACTCACTTCTTTAATATTTCCTGTGGTTTCCTCTGGGGCTGTGTGTCAGGGAAAAGGTGCTTTCATCTAAAGTCTCCTAAACTTGCTATTTATGGAATATTTCCAGGAGCAAAAGAATATCAGCCAAGGAATTTTTTTTTCCTTCTTCACGCTGCCTGACCCAGGGGTGGCTTCTGATCTCTCACTTCCATCTCTTCAGGGGGCTTAATTGCTGGATCTGTGCTGTGCCACTGGATTGCTGAAGTGCTTTTCCCTTTTCCTGCAGGAAATGTGCTCTGAGCGGCCTCCCCAGGACCTGCAAGCACCGGATCATGCTGGGGGATTCTGGGAATTACTACTACATTTCCCCTTCCTGCAGGGCCAGGGTGAGTCCTTCTTAGGGTGCCTTGACCTTCCAACATCATTCCATGCCCTGAGGTGGGCGAGTTCCAGAGGGTCAGCCGTGGAATTGAGGAAAAACTGTGGGATTTGAGGTCATTCCTGAGGCTGAGGTAGCTCCTACTTGGTGATTAGGGGGCAGAACCAGCTCTTCCTTCTGCTTTCAGATAACCTTCAGTGTGTTCACTTGCCATGATTTCATTCAGTACAGAGCTTTGATTGTTTGGCTCTATTGTTATTATTTAATTCCCCTTTGTAAAACACAATGATTTTCTGCTCTTTGGAGGCTGTTGCTGTTCCAGTCAGATCCGTGCCTGGCTGTGGGAACAAACTGTCCTTTCTGTGGAGGGGAGGGAGAAGGTGGATCATTTGTTAATGTTGCTGTTGGGGCTCTTGTTCAGAGGAGGATTTTAGAAGTTAATTCTTTCCTGAGCTGCCTTTTTGAAGAGCTGATCTCACAAAAAGTTGGTTTTTGTGCACGGGTTTGACTCATTTTCATCACTTACACCAAAGTAATGTCTCAAATCTTTGTTCCTTTATTTTTCCCCCTCTTTCTCTCTGTCACCCAGATCACAGCAGTGTGCAACTTCTTCACCTACATCCGCTATATCCAGCAAGGCCTGGTGAGGCAGGATGGTAAGAGCTGGCTCCAGGGGGATGCTTTCTGTGGGGGCAACTGGGAGGAATTGGGAGGAGCTGCTTGGAGTGACAGGAGTGGGGTTGGCTGGGGGTGTCTTGGAGAAGCAGATAAATTACAAAAGAGAAGCATGAGGAGAGCATCTCTTCCTTCCTTATCAGCTTCCTGGAGCTGGTAAGGGGTGACCTGATGGGCCTGTCCTGCTTCCCTCCCCTCTGGGAATGCTGGGAGCACAGCAGAGCAGGAGCTGGTGGCAGCTGTGCCCTCCTTACTGACTTTTTTGGTGTTTTTCCCCCTTCTCTGCCCCGTTGTGCTTTGCAGTGGAGCTGATGTACTGGGAGGTCATGCGGCTCCGCAGGGAGATGTCTCTGGCCAAACTTGGATTTTATCCCAGTGAGATGTGAGCAGAGCCCTGAGTGTGGAGGAAACTGCTCCTGGAGGAAGGGCTTGGAGTGCAGTGCCTGTCCTGCTCCCTCCCACCTTCCCTCTGCCTGGAGCAAGGAGCAAGAGGCACGAGTTCCACCTTCAGCTGTCCCACTCCTCCAAGTGTGACTGGAATGCAGCTGCCACGCTGCCCCTGGAGCTGGGCTGGCCCTGACTGCTCCAGGATGGCCATCCATGGACTCTGGAGTCTCCTATATGCAGTGTATATCCATTTTTTAAAACCCTTTGTTTTTATATGCAGCCTGCTTTGGCATAACCCGAGGCCAGGCCTGTGCAGGGTGGGAATTCTGGACCTTCCTTGTGAGCCCCTCTGGCAGGACAGATGCTGGCTGTCTGTTCCACTCGTTTTTTTGGGATGGAGGGGGTGCTGTCCCTGAGGTCCTGCTGACCACAGCAGCCCTGAAAATGCCAGCAGAGCACAATAATCTTGAACAGTTTGTTTCCAAGTACTTCCTTGTTCCTTTTCAAGGAGCCTGCAAGAGAAGCTTGTTGCCAGCAGAGTCACAAAGAGGGATTTGTTCCTGTTTTTAGCTGGATGTTTGGCACTGGGTTATGCAGGCTGGGGAATGGCTGGAGCTGTGCACCTGGGGCCTCCAGCAGAAGAAAGGGAGCAGGGAGATTCCCTAACTTCCAGCAGGCTGCAGGATTTTTTTCCCCTGGACTAGGGCATCTGCTGGAGTTGTCAGAGGCAGATGCAGGATCCTGTGACAGTCCCTGGTGTGAAGTCCCCCATGATGCTCCTAAACACAAACCTCACCCACAAACAAGTCTTGGAGCTGTTCCTGCTCTTGGGGGAGCTTTGGGCAGTCCTGTTCCCACTCTTCAGGCAGAACCCCTGCCCCTGGTTGGGTTCTTTGTGTCTCCAGAAGGGGCATGCCCAGGCTGGGCAGTCCCAAGCCCAGAGATTCCTTCCCAGTGGTACATCAGAGCTGGAGATGCCTGTCCACTGGGAATCATGACTTTTCCTGGGCTGCTATTCCCTGGTGAGGGAATCTGAGACCTCTTTGAGTGCCCATGAGGAATGTGGCTGAGGTTCCTGCCTGCCCCAAAATGTGCTGGGAGGGAAGGATGTCACTGGAGCTGTAGGAATGCACAGGCCTGACACATCCTGAGCCCAGACCCAGGTTTATTAAAGCCATGACAGTATTTTGTAGCTAATTTAGCCTTTTTTTCAGTGACTCTGGAATCAGCTCAGCCATCACTCACTCTGGGGTTTCCACTTCTGACAGGGTTGTCACCCTGTCCCTCTGCCACCCTCAGCAAGCTGGTGCCCATCCTCAGCTCCATAATTCCATCCTCTCCTGAAGGACATTACAGTAGGAACTCGATTTTCTTCCACTGAGCTGCTGGATTTTGTCCAGGGGAGAGAGAAATAACACAGCTCTGGTTTCCCCAGCTGTGGATTTCAGCTCAGGTGAATTCCACCCCTGGAATTTCTCCCTGCATCTCTTCCCCCATCCTTTCTATCTCTTCAAGTCTTCCTGTGCCGTGAGCTGCTGCACAAACATTGCAGCACTGGGAATGAGATGATCTCTCTGGCTAGGAGATGTTTTGGTTTGTGGGATATTTTTTCCCCCTTGGTGTCACATTGAAAAGCACTTTGAGACAGAAGGAACTGGAGCAATGCCTTGTCTGAGGTTGTCTTGCATTTCAAACAAAGCAGAGAACAATTTGTGAAGGAAAATGAAGTCACTCCGTTAGCAGCAGGTTGGTTGCACCCTGCTCTTTGATAAAGGAAAATAAACATTTGCTATTAACCTCTACAAGCCTGGTTGGAGTTGGAGGGTTGGGGTGCTTGGGGTTCAAGAGAAAATCCTACAGGATGGAGTTTGGGGTGCTTTTATTCATCAGAGCAGGTACCTGTTCTTCCTGAGGGAAGCTGAGGCTTCTCCTGCTTGGTTGTGTCTCCTTTAATTTGCTGGCTTGAAGCTCTGTACGGGTGCTGGGTAATTGGAGGATCTTCTTCCTTCCTCTTTCCTGATCAGTCTCCCCCTTCTCCTCTCAGCAGGCAGAGGTTTTTGGGTCGCTCTGGTTTCACCAAAACCTTTTGCTCTCCTCCCTGCTCGGCTCTGCACATTAACATGGAAGATCTCATCCCCTCTGGGAGGTGACAGTGGGAGAGCTGTGTGCAGGAAGGGATTTAATTTCATTTTCAATTAAAAAGCCATGCAAGGATCTGGTTGTGCAGCACAGTCAGGCAGCCACGAGAGGGCACAGGCAGCCCAGGCAGGGACTGCCCTCCCTCCCTCATTCCCTCCCTGGGAGAATGGAGCACCTCCAGGTCCCACCCCGTCCTGACCCTCCCTGCAGCCTCTCGACAGGAAAACATTCCTGCAGCTTCCCTGCGCTGCTGGGACAGGGAATTGGGCAGCTTGACAGTGGGAAGGAAAGGAAGGGTTTGGATTTCTGTAAGGGATGATCAGATGAGACACTGGGAATGTTTTCCTCTGTCTGGGTCTTTCGGTGGAATGTCAGCAGGGATTGCTGTCAGAAACTTCCCTGTAATATCAGCTCCTAAGTTTCTAAGGTATGAGAAGACATCATGTCCCCTATTCCCAGCCTTTTCCACCAAAACTTTCCTGTTTTTTTTTCCCCTCATAAATAAACCAGAGTTTGAGCAGGGTCTCTAGGTCCTCTGGTAACTCCTGCAATCTTCCTTGCACCTGTTTGCCCCCACAAAGGGTCTGCCAGCCTGTCCTGGGCTGAAATAAAGAGCTTCAAAGGGATGGGAGTTCAAAAATCTGCTTTTATAGATGTGTTTGACTTGCTTGATTTTGTTTTCATCCCTGTTTCCCTCAAGTTTGGGAAAGAAAAAGGATATTTGGATGATGGTGGAGGCTAGTGTTGTGCACAATGAGGTGCTTTTAAGCATTTGGATATTACTATTTGAAAAACTGGGATTTAGACCAGAGAGATTTGGTTGCTCCTGGCAGTTCCCTGTGTCTGCTGGCTGTTTCCTTTCCCTGCCTGAGGAATTACTCCAGCTTTGCTCAGGGCTGTAAATCAGGCTGTCTTTGTGCAGCTGGTCAGGCTGTCCCCACACGCCCACACACAGAGATGGATGGTTCCTGTTCCCAGGAACCAACAAATGAAAGATTTCGATTTTTTTATTATTATTTGCTCCAGGTGCAATCAAAGACAAGAGAGAGGATAAGCAGCTGGCCTCGGAAAAGTCAGGACTTTCCATGCTTTCCTGAGCTTCCTGTAGGATGAATCCATCAAAGCAGAGAGGATTCCCTGCAGAACAGGCAGCACTGGGCCAGGCACGGGGAAATTCCAGTCGTTTTGGACATTCAGGGAGTGTGGCCCTGCCAGGAAAAAGTCAGATGTCCTGGCACAACTCTCAGTGTGCACGTGGCACCAGTGGCTGGGGCTGGCCAGCTCTGCCAAGGCAACCTGTTCCTAATAGGAGCAAATCCCTCTGGTGTCACCAGTGCTGGGAGCCAAGGGGTCAGATTTGCTGTTTGTCATGTCAATATTCCCATGTTTGTGCAAGGCTCACTGGGCTGAGCTGGAAAGTTGACTTTAGCCAGGCTGAGAAGGCAGCTGGACTTTGTGCTGGTTTATATAACTTCCAGAGAATGTTTCACCTCCTTTGGGAGTGGATTAGGATGGGAAGGGAACATAGAGAACATGAGATTCATCCTAGTTGTGGGCTGGATGTGAGGGGAAGAAGGGAAAATTACTTTGGAATGGCCTTAAGATGAAGGAGGGTAGATTTGGATGGGATATAGAAAGAAATCTCTCTCTGCAAGGGTGAGGAGGCCCTGGCACAGGTTGCCCAGAGAAGCTGTGGCTGCCCCTGGATCCCTGGAAGTGTCCAAGGCCAGGCTGGATGGGGCTTGGAGCAGCCTGGGACAGTGTCTCTGCTCATGGCAGGAGTTTGGAATGAGATGGGCTTTGAGATCCCTTCCAACCCAAACCATTCTGGGATTCTGTGATAAATCTGAGCTGCCAGTGGTGTCCTGGCTCAGGAGATGAGATTGCACTGGCTGAAGTGATGGAGCAGAGGGACAGCAAGGAAGGTTTAGGAAAGAAGAGGCACTCCTTAGCTTTTGTTTGGCTTAATCTTGAAATGATTCCCCTTGTAGGAGAAAACATAGCTGCACAGGAAAAGCTGAGTCATTGATACAAATCTGGTTATTTACAAGTGACTCCAGTGATGGAAAAGCCATTTGTGCAGGAGAAGAATCCCAAAACAGCTCCTCTTGGGACTGAGAGGGGAGCTGGGAGAAGGAAGCTGAAGGGTGGAGGTGTTCTCCAGGAAGTTCTGCAGTGGAAATCCCAGCTCTCAATCCTGTGCTGCTCACAGAGCTTCCAGGGACATCTGTGTGGGCACACAGAACATCCTGAGCTTTTAACTCTGCTAATGCTTCTGGTTTCTGCTTCCTCTCTGGTTCTGGGGCTGCAGGCTTCCCTCTGGCAGATGTAGCCTGGGATTGGCTCAAGGACAGCTCCCTGCCCTTAATTCCCCTGGCTCACTGTGCTAATTCTGCTCTGTTAATCATCTTAGAGTCAATTTAAGGTGCTTCATGCCAAAGGACACTTATGTGGGTCACAGCTCAGTGACACCTTTGCTCTTTCTGTATCAGCACCTGGACAGAGGTGACTTGGCCCTTGCCTTTGGTGACCTTCCCTTTTGCCAGACCACCTGAGCCATGTGGAAGAACCAGGAGGAAGGAGGGAAGCACCAATCCAACTTTCCATCAAACAGAGGGCAGTGATAAATAATGTCTCAGGAGAGCTGGAGCAGTGTTTGATGGTCCCATGGCTTTCAGACAAGGGAAGTTTTGCAACCACCCCAAAATCTTGGCAGCTCTGGCAGACATTAGTCCTTAATAGGAGAGGGAAATTGGGTCCCAAATCTGATTAATTTCACACTGGAATGATGTGTATGTGGAGAAGATCTCATGGACTGTGTTTGAGTAGTGCCTGAACCAACTGAGTTGGGAAAACCCAAAAAACCATTTTTCTGTTGTCAGCAGTTGGGCATCGCTACTTTCTCCTCACTGTACTGGTTTTAAAAGCCTGGCTTTACACATTCAAAATACACAAATGAGTTAAACCCTCTCTCCTACTGCAGCATGTGGGACTCATCCCTGTGCCAACACTACCACATCCAGGAGAGCTTCTCTGAAACCATTTAGTAAATATTTCAATAGAGACCTTTAAAACTGTTCGTTTCTCTTTAGAGAGACATTGCAGAAAGGAAATTGCTTCTTAATCTCTGTCTGCTGTTTTGTTTGATTCATTTGTGCATCACAGGGCAGAGCGGGCTCAATGTCTTTTTGCTTTTAATTCTTTATTTTATGCAGACAAAACCATTCCCAGGGAATGGTTTGGGCATGAAGGGATCTCTAAAGATCATCCAGCTCCTGACTTGCCCAGAAGCTCCTGCTGCACTATTCAAGCCCAGACATCCTGTTACTGTGGAGCTGTTGATTTTCTGCAGGGATGTGGAGGAGTCATGGTGCTGGTATGCTGCTGGAACACTGTGCCTTCACCATTCCTTGCCCTCTAGTGCTGTTGGATTCCGTTTCACTCGCATACCTTCACCAAATCAGGTGTTCAGTTTTAGACTCAGTGAGCTCCAGCATGATGGGGAGACAAGAATGAGCAAGGCATGGAATTGGAATTGGCATTGGCAGCAGTGCTTTGATTTCTGGTCACACTTTATTTCCTCCTCCCCAGGGTGATGGTGAAGCACAGGCTGTGCTGCTTTGCTCCATTCGGGGTTGTGAGCATGCCCTAAAAGGTTTGTGGACTTGCAAAGGGAGATAATTTCAGCTCTGAGTGATTTACCTGGAGATGCTTGACCAGGAACTGGCCCCAGTGGAGAAGACAGCAGCATCTTCAGCTCAGAACCCAAACTTCCAAGTTTTATTAGGCATCTATCAGCAATAAGGGAACAAAACACACAGAGAAAGTACAATATGGCTCCTATATTTTATAGAAAAACCAACTGCTGCTTAATGAAGGCCAGGCTAATTGAGGCCAATTAAATTAATCAGCCAAGTGAACCAGCCACACCCATTCTGAGGAGGAGGGGTGCCATCACAGGCAATTACTGTGATTAATCCTCTCATTGTCATCCCCACAGCCAGCACCTGGCCAAGAAGTTGGGGAGTTACCTAACTCTGCTCAGGAGGATGCTGCAGGCGAAGGTGGTGCATCCAGGTGAGGATCCTTCTGCTTGGCCTTTTCCCACTCCTTTCTCGAATTTCTGCTGAGCCTCCCTTGACCTGAGCAGCCTGGGCTTGACCTTCAAACCTCAGAGGTTGGCAGAAGGTGGAAAAGCTCTGACACAGGGTATTTTAGAACACATCATCATTAACCTCAGTGAAACTTACATTGTACTCTCCAACCTCTATGCAGGGTAGATAACATCTTTATTTTATTTAATTATGTATTTATTTAATTTATACTTATTTTATTATATTTTATGTTCTGCTGTTGGGGAAATGATTCACCTCCTGGCTCACTCTGGAGTTCTGGATTATTCCCTTCATACTCTTTGCATTGTGGTTTCCAAATGGATAAGTGTGTGGCTGGAAATGTGAACAGAATTTTCACTGTACAGCAGCTCCAGCAATGCCCTGTTCTGTAGAAACCCTAGGACAGAGGGATGGTGTAGGGAGGACGTAGTATGGAAGTGTTTCTATATGATATTTGAGGAATTTGGGCTAATTTTTCAAAATATATGTGATAACATGATATAACACAGCACAAACACTGAAAAAAAATTTGAGGGTTTTTCAGAGGCTGA